ATGCGTTGCTTGGAAGACCTTGGATCCATAATATGAGGGAAGTACCTTCAATGCTTCATCAAGTCTTGAAATTCCTAACATCGGAAGGAGTCAAAACGGTGTACGGAGAACAACCAGGAGCCAAAGAGATGTTTGCAATCGATGAGGTGATACCAGTGTCGACCCTCACATCAACGAAGGCACCGGAATCAAAGGGAAATCAAAAGGTCAAATAGCAACCACAGTCGCTAGCTTCGACCAGATCGGAACATCAGGAAATTATCGAGGATGATGATTGTATGATACCTCGAACCTTCGTCATCCCTGAAGACTCCAATGCCACGAAATCAACGGTCGAAGAGCTGGAACAAGTCATACTGATCGAGCACATGCCCGATCGAAAGGTATACCTGGGCACGGGGTTAACTCCCGAGCTCAGGGAAAAACTCATTAAATTCCTTATTATAGATATGGTCTATTTTTCTTGGTCCCACCTTGACATGACAGGGATCCCATCGGAGATCACCACTCATCGATTGAGTTTGGACCCGAAGTTCAGACCGGTAAAGAAAAAGAGAAGGCCACAGTCCGAGGTAAAGCATGCATTCATCAAGGACGAGGTAACCAAACTTCTCAATATAGGACCCGTCCGGGAAGTAAAATATCCCGAGTGGTTAGCAAACGTAGTTGTAGTCCCCAAGAAGGGGAATAAATTTAGAATGTGTGTAGATTACAAAGACTTAAATAAAGAATGCCCTAAGGACTCTTTTCCGCTGCCAAATATCGATCGCATGATCAATGCCACGACCAGCCACGAGATTAGCTTTCTCGATACCTACTCCGGGTACAACCAAATACAAATGAACCCGGATCAGGAAAAAACTTCATTTATCACTAAGTACGGTACCTATTACTATAATGTAATGCCATTTGGGATAAAAAAATTCTAATGCTACCTATCAACGCCTAGAAAATCGAATGGTCAAAGAACAAATAGGTAAATCAATGGAGGTTTATATTGATGACATGCTAGTTAAGTCCCTGCGCGCATAGGACCATTTGACACATTTGCAGGAAACCTTCGACATCTTGAGAAAATACAACATGAAGCACAACCCCAAGAAATGTGCATTCGGGGTCGTTTCAGGCAAGTTCCTCGGCTTTATGGATCAAATCGGGGAATCGAGATCAACCCCGATAAAATCAAGGCAATCGAAACATCACAGTTGTGGACAACGTTAAGGTCGTACAAAGGCTAACAGGACGGATCGCTGCTTTAGGCCGGTTCATCTCGAGGTCTTCTGATCGAAGCCACAAGTTCTTCTCACTTCTCAAAAAGAAGAACAATTTTACTTGGACCCCGTAATGCCAACAGGCATTGTAAGAATTAAAGCGGTACCTTTCAAGCCCACCAATGCTTCATACTCCGAAAACGGATGAGCAACTCCATTTATATTTGGTAGTCTCGGAGGTCGCGGTAAGTGGTGTCTTAGTTCGAAAAGAACAAGGTACGCAATTTCCTATTTACTATGTTAGCCGAACTTTAGGTGAAGTAGAGACCAGGTACCCACACTTAGAAAAACTAGCGCTTGCTCTTATAAGCGCCTCTATGAAATTAAAATCATATTTTCAATGTCGCCCAATTTGTGTTGTAACCACTTATTCCCTTCACAACATTTTGCACAAGCCCGAGCTCTCAGGCCGACTTGCCAAATGGGCCGTCAAAATCAGTGGGTACGATATCGAGTATCAACCCCGAACGGCCATCAAGTCTCAAATCTTAGCAGACTTCGTGGCTGACTTTATACCACCCCTCGTGCCCGAGGTCGAAAAGGAGCTATTGCTAAAATCGAGTGCATCCTTGGAGGTGTGGACCCTTTTCACAGACGGTGCTTCGAATGTGAAGGGGCCCGGGCTAGGCATCATTTTGAAGCAACCCACGGGCAATACGATTAGATAATCTATCAAAACACCTAAGTTGACTAACAATGAGGCCGAGTATGAGGCCATGATTGTAGGTCTCGAGCTGGCTAAAAGTTTGGGAGCTGAGATCATTGAGGCCAAGTGTGATTCCCAGCTCGTGGTTAACCCGGTCAACAAAACCTTCGAGATCCGAGAAGATCGAATGCAGAGGTACTTGGATAAATTGCAGGTAACCTTACACCGGTTCAAAGAATGGACCCTATAACATGTACCTTAAGAACAGAATGGTGAGGCCGATGCCCTTGCAAACTTAGGGTCATCAATCGAAGATGATGAAATTAGCTCGGGGACTGTCGTACAACTTTCAAAATCGGTGGTCGAAGAAGGCCACGCTGAAATAAACTCCACAAGCCTAACTTGGGATTGGAGGAACAAATATATCGATTATCTAAAGAATGGGAAACTTCCATCGGACTTGAGGAACCGAGGACTCTGCGGACGAAAGCTGTACAGTTTACATTGGCCGAAGATGGAACATTATAAAGGATGTTCGATGGGCCGTTGGCAATATGCTTGGGTATAGGGGATACCGACTACGTCTTACGAGAAATTTACGAGGGCACTTGCGGGAACCATTCCGGTGCCGAGCAGGATGTTACTGGGACAGTATGAAAAAAGATACTAAGGAGTTCATTCGAAAATGTGACAAATACCAAAGGCATGCGCCGATGATCCACCAACCCGGAGAGCAACTTTATTCAGTCCTATCCCTGTGGCCATTTATGAAACGGGGGATGGACATCGTTGGTCCTCTGCCATCGACCCCAGGTAAATCTAAATTCATCTTATTTATGATTGACTGTTTCTCTAAATGGGTTGAAGCATAGGCTTTCGAGAAAGTCAGAAAGAAAGAAGTTATAGACTTCATCTAGGATCACATCGTATGCCGATTCGGGATACCCGCCGAGATAGTGTGCGACAATGGAAAACAATTTATCGGCAGCAAAATAAGAAGTTCCAAACCTTAATTAAATGATGAAATTAACAAGGGATTAGTGGATATTAATAAAAAAAACAAGTGTAGAATCCTTACCCAAACGTTGCCTCTAAAAAAATCCTCAAAATCTCGCCTCAATCTGAGCTCTCTATCTCAAGTTATGAAGAAAATGACAAACCCTCGATTTTGAAATGTGTAAATTTTCCCAGGTGCTCCTTAATCACGATCGCGAAAATAGCCTCGCGATCGCGAAGCACAACTTAGCTGCCCCAGAAATTAACCCTACGCGAACGTAGAAAACTCCACGCGAACGCGATGTACTGGCCCTCAGACTTACGCGATCGCGAACGATACCACGCGTTCGCGATGAACAAAGTGCGTGGTCCAGCTTCTGCCTCATAAACACTACGCGAACGCGACCTTGGCCACGTGTTCGGGAAGCACCACTTCACACAACTACGCGTTCGTATACTCCTACCTGCGAACGCGAAGAACAAATCCTTCTACTGCCCAGCTTAGCCTACACGATCGCGGACCATCCAAAGCGATCGCGTATAAGGAAACCAGAACACAGATACCAGAAAACTTCAGCAGCCTTCTAAGTCCAATTTCCAATCCGTTAACCATCCGAAATCCATCCGAGGCCCCCGAGATCATAACCAAACCTACCAACAAATCATAAAACATCATAAGAACTTGTTCAAGCCTTCAAATCACATCAAACAATACTAAAAACACGAATCGCACCCCAATTCAAGCTTAATGAACTTTAAAACTTCAAACTTCTACAACCGATGCCGAAACCTATCAAAACATGTCCGATTGACCTCAAATTTTGTATACAAGTCGTATTTGACATTATGGACCTATTCCAACTTCCGAAATCGGAATCCCTCCCCGATATCAAAAAGTCCACTCCCGGTAAAACTTTCCAAAAATCCAATTTTCGCCATTTCAAGCCTAATTCAACTACGGACCTCCAAATCACAATTTGAACGCGCTCCAAAATCCAAAATCACCCACGGAGCTAACGTAACTGACAAAATTCCATCCCGGAGTCGTCTTCACACAATTCCAACTACGGTCAAATCCTAGAACTTAAGCTTCTGTTTTAGGGACTAAGTGTCCCATTTCACTCTAAAACCAAAAACAAATCCTCCCGGCAAGTTACATAAGCATAAAATAAAACAGAGGAAGTAGTAAATAGGGGATTGGGGCTAATACTCTCAAAACGATCGGTCAGGTCGTTGCATGTTATGTCTGAAGTTTTCTTTAGTTTGAGTTACTTTCTTCCTATACATGTAATCGTAACATATATATATCGGTTGATACATCCATTCACCGAAAGAAAAGCAAACCAGCAAAACAAGAGGAAAAAGATCATTCAGTAAAAAAATAAGCCGTCTAAAGCACACATGGTATGTAAGTACAATTCTACTAAAGATTCACTTGAATATGGAAGTTTTGATGATGGTGTGCTATATTTGTACATTTATGGGTGAATATAAGTGTATTTTTATCAGTATGTGTTACTTTATTTGGGAAACTATTTTGGAGTCTTTGGGAGGTTTTGAGTGAGGTTCTTCGATGTAGGTTGAAAGGAGAGGAAGAAGAAAGAGAAAGAAAAAGAAAGGAAAAAAAATAAATTAAAAATAAAAATAAGAGTCTAGGGACGGGTTTCCATATAGTTCAGGGTGGTTTTGATCATTTCTAGAAAAAATGGGAGGGTGGGAAGGGGAGTGGATTTTAAAAAGAGGAAAAAAATTTCAAAATAAAAAAATTTGGAAATTGCGCCCGTTAGCAAAGGAGGGCTGTAATGACCCCTTTAGGTCACGGACACAAATGATGCCAAGTCGAGGGTGGTTTTGAACCTTTTCTGCTTAAAAAAGGAGGCAAACTTGTAATAAACATGAACTTAAAGGGGCAAGCCGCGTAGGTCTCTTCCAACACCCACGTGCTCCCACAAAAAAGGTATCGGCAACTAGGATTCCGAATGTACTTTGGATTCGAAGTCTGTCCTCAGAATCTTGGGATTTTTTCTCTACTTATAGCAAACATATAGGACGGCTCGTTGGCATCGATAGATTTCCTCTTATATGCCATGGCGCAAGAGATGCGTGATTGGTCGGAACTTCAACACGATCTGCTAGTTCTCATTGGTAGACGTTTCAATTTGATTGAAGACTACTTAAATTTCGGCACCGTCTGTAAATCCTGGCACTCTGCAGCCACCAAAAACAATTTTAACAGTGAATTGCCTAGAGTTCCATGGCTGATGTTACCAGAAGAGGAGGAGGAGGATAAAAGCGACAGTTGCTGTCGAAAATTCTTCAGCCTCTATAATGGTATGATTTTGAAGAAGAGGATTCTTAAAGCTAGCGGAAAACGATGTATGGAGTGTATGGGATGGCTTATCACAGTTGGTAAAGACGAGGGTGAAGCTAGTTTGCTACATCCTTGTTCAGTTCGAATTACCACAGAAGATTTTTATGAACACGAGACTGGCTATCCATTTACTTTTTTTCGCAAGGCAGTTTTATCAGCTAGTCCTTCTTATACATCCGACTTTGTTCTTATGGTCATTGAGGGAGGCATGAGATTTCTCAGTTTTTGGACACCTGGAGATTTGAGATGGACTAGGGTTAGCTAGAACAGATTAGATCATGATCCATTAGCTGATCTGGTATATTTTAATGGCCGCTTTTATGCAGTAGATTATTCTGGCCGCGTCCTTTTTTGTGATGTTGCTGGCCCTGAACCCACTAAAAGAAGTCATATCATAGCGCAGTTACCATTTGATTGTCGAGACAGGCTAGGTCACCCATACATCGTAGAATCACTAGGATCATTATTTATAGTTGTACGACATGGTGTTCAAATATGCAAAGTCAAAGATGATTGTGACAGGATGAGGATTCCATTGACTTACATCGTAAGCGAAAATCAGGAAGAGCTTCGGGATGGGGAGGAATTAAGATATGGAACAGAAAGTTTTCGAGTTTTCAAGGTTGATTTAGCTGCTGCTGGCAAAGTAACAGAAACCAGGGAATTAGGGGAGAGAGCTTTTTTTCTGGGTGCTAATGCTTCTCTTTCTGTCCAAGCTTCTCAATTTCCAGGAATCAAGCCCAATCATGTTTATTTTACTGACGATTTTTTTGAATCATACGCCGCCTTTGTTGAAGGAGGAGGCTTGGACATGGGGGTGTTCAACTTAGCAGATGGCAGCATCCAGATGCATTACGAGGGTGTTTCCCTCAGTCGTGTTTGTCCTCCAACTTGGGTCACACCAACTCTGTGTTAGAGTCAGACATATTTATTTATTTGCTCTATTTGTTATGCTATTTTTACAATAAAAGTCTAACGCTTTTTTATTTAAATAATTACACCTGTCATTTAACTTCAGAATCTATTGATGTATCTTTCTTGTTTTCAATATAATTGGACAAAAGATACTTCCGTTAGTTGTTATACTTTCTTGTTTCCAAGTATGTTCTGTTGGAATGCAATCAGGATTGGCTTTATTCTCAGTTTTCTTAATGGAGAACTTCTGGTAGGTTAGAACCTATACTTAGCTGGTGTAGGGTGAAAGTTTTGATTACTGAGTTATAACTTTAAACTAGCAATTACTGAAAATTCTTATAGCATAGTTTGTCTTGTATAAAATCTGGCAAAGTCATTAAGCAGTTTAATTCTAGAAGACTGAAACTCACTATAGGATGTTTTTGATATCTTCTTTATCGCTATCAAAGATCAAGTGAGTCAGAATCGAACGATTGTCCAGTTTCAGTAAGGTAAGTATTAACTGTGAGTTCAGCCTACAGACTCGGATTGACATTAGGTGGACGCCTGGATTTGCAAATTGATATCAGCATTTGCTGCATATCATCTTTGATAAGTCATATTTAGATCGAATACTATGTCTTTTCTGTCTCCATTCCTAGAGTCTGTAATTTATGACTTTTTTTTTATCTTTTTTTTTTTTTTTGATAAGGTTAGATTTTATTAAAAGGTACCAAGATGGTACAGAATTACAAACATCCAAACTAATACAACAAAGCAACTACATTCCTCCTAGCTCCTCTAGAAAATCCATATATTGTTCCATATTTTCCATTACATGTCTTTTACACCAGAAATACAAGTTTAATAAGCATCTGTTTTTGATCCTAGATACATGCCGCCTTTCCCCTTCGAAGCAAATCCTGTTTACATGCCGCCTTTCCCTTTCGAAGCAAATCCTGTTTCTTTCCAACCATATTGTCCAGAACACACACAGAGGAATTGTTCTCCATACTATCTGTTGACTTTTTGCCACTTTTTGTTGTTGCCATGTCTCCAACAAACTCTTTACAATGGAAGGCATTGCCCACGTGACATCATATATATTTAGGAAGAGCTCCTAGCACTACTTTGCCACTCTGCAATGGATGAGTAGATGATTGACTGTTTCTGCCTCTTCTTGACACATGTAACACCTGTTACATAGAACAAAACCTCTCTTCTGCAAGTTCTCCTGAGTTAGAAAAGCTTCCTTTGCTGCAATTCAACCAAAACAAGCTACTTTAATAGGTGTTTTAATGTAATTTATGACTTTTTGTTTTAAGTAAAGCGGAGACAAGACTGTAAGATGTATGAAACTTGTTAGTCGTATTGAATTAAATATGTAGGAGCAGGATAACTGGTTTTAACATGAAAAGAACACTCTCTTAGTGTTTGGTAACTTTTTAAAGAAGCAATTTTCATTGTTGGAGGATCCGGAAAAAAATTCTTTTTCCTGAGAAGTAAATTTCGAGCTTTCGAAGTCCTAAAACTTAGGCATAACTTTGGAGGACAGAACACCACTAAGGAGATAGCCTAGCGGCGAAGAGTTAGAGATTTGCACAAAAACCTTGGGGGACCAAAATTCAAATCTCGAAAGACCTTTTCTTTTCACCTGTTTTTACATTGCATTTGCTAAGACAGGTAACATTGAAAGTTTGCAAGCCTCATGTCTTTGTAGACATAAGAATGAGGCATGAAGTTCACGAGAAACTGATAGTCGGACCTGAGGCTAAGCCCTCTTTGGATTAGCTGATTAAAAGTAGTCAATAAGCATAAACTGTTGAAAAGCACTTTTACGTGCCGAAACCAATTTTAGAAAATATAGTGGTCAGTGGAACACTTGTTTTTACATTGCAGAGTTTCTAGGTATTTGTATTAAAGCTGTATGTCTCTGCTTTGCAGATTCAGTACAACAAATTAGACATTTAGCGGCAATAGCTTAATTGTGCTAATTTATATTATAGAGCCTAATTACCGGCAGTTAAACTTTAGCTGGTAAAAGAATACTTTTTAGTGACAAAATAAAAATATTAGTCCAGAAAGAGAAAAAACTAGCCTTTTCAATTCAAGTTGTGTGACCTCCAATTCTCTTTAGCTTCCCTCCAATTATTTTTAGTCTCTAAATTCCCCCAATTCAAATCCGAAGCCTACGATCTCTCTCCCTCTCTCTACCCATTTCTCTTCCTCTGATCGGTGAGTGTTTCTTCAATTCAACTTAGTTATTCTTTGATCTACTTCTCGATTTTCCTATAACTGTACTTATTCGATTCAGCTAGCATTTTACTTGAGTTTACTGTAATACCAACCCGATCTCGATCTTATATATGTTTACACTTTATACTGTTACTATATATATTGTCTTTGCTCGTTGTATTAATTTTGATTTTTGTATTGGTTTTGGTGTTTTTACTCTACAATCTGAAGTTGTTCTCTCTGCTTTATATTTCAAATCTCGGTAAGCTCCATAGCTTCTGTAAGTTTAGCTCAATTTTGAACTTTCTCTTATAATATGGAATCTCTGCTCTCTTCTCCATACGTTCTGAAATTTCTTATCGTCAGGGTTAGAAATTTTCCTTCGCAGATTCACACAGAACTTTCCCCTTCGCTTTTCACCAGCAGTAGCCGGGCTAGGGCGTCAAAGTTTTGAGGTAAGAATGTGAATATCATGTGAATTTTTGTATTTCTCCATATACTGATTTTATTATTAATAAGGAAAACTTATGTATCTGATTTGAAAAAAACACTGATTTGATTATTTTGTTATGTTACAACTTATTATGTAAATGGAATTAGCCCGATAGGGAATAGTGTAATGTGCTTATGCCATGTTCCTATGTTTTGTGACGTATTGTGTTTCATTTGATGAGCATTTTAGAAGCTGTTATGTCCAAGTGTTTTTAATGAGAGACTAGTTTGTTGATTGAAGGACCTTGTTGGTTGGTGTTAGAATCGAATTTACCGGTGAGAAATTTTTGAGTTCAGGCAGCTATAGAACATCTTAATCTGTATTAAAATTCCTGCAATTATGTTACTAGAACCTGTGCACTGATTCTTATTTAAAGCACTTGGTCGTTCTTAGTTCCTTTACTTCTAATTGACAGTAAAAAATTGCAGCAGTTGAGTTTTGGTACCTGAGCTGAATGTACTTTATGTGATCGCTTATCAAATTTATATGATATTTATTGAAATTATAAGGAGACAGAAAGAGTAATAAAAGTAGGCTAATGTTGTGCTGTGCTATGCTGATGTTTGAATTGTTAATTTAATGTTTTCTGAGTTTTTGAATACTTCTATATATATTGTTACTGATTTTTATGAAGTTGTCAATGTTTTTTCCAATTTCGAAAAGTTAATAATCTAAGTTGTTCCGACACGGCGATTTAGGTGCCGCATCCGTGTCGACACCACACTAGTATTGGTGTGGGTATGAGATCCGTATCGGATCTGGTCAAACAATTTTGGGTACTTTGACCACGACGGATGGAAAAATTCGAGACAAGATACAATTTGATTCCCGAAATCAAAACCAAAACTGGGGAAGAAAATAGCTTACTGTATCTTGGAAATCAATCCTTTACTTATCTACAACTTGAGACTAAAAAAGAAATCCACACTTTACAAGCTATACGTAAGTATTCCTAAAAAATTTTTCATAATCTAGAGATATTTTATATATTTTTATTTTCTTCAATTATTTTTAGCCAGATCCCCGCACCCGTATCCGTATCCCCGAATCTTAGAATTTACATCTTGAAGGATCCGACCTCTAGATCCGCATCCGTGCCGGACACCCGCACCCGTGTCCGAGCAACTTAGGTTAATATGCATTCTTGATAGTATGTTGAGGCTAGTATGTTGGAGAACGTGAAAGTTGTTATCTTCCTCTTCCCCTTCTAAATCAGTCACCAAACACAAGCAGGAATGGTCTTCCATATCTTCCTCTTCCCCTTCCAATGCCCTTGCCAGTCCAGCATTGTAGCAGCTGTTTAATAGTTCTTGGCATAACCCAACCGACCTGGAAAAGATTGAGCAACAGCTTCCAGCTCTGTGTAGCAAAGCTACAATGCAAAAATAAGTGATTAGCTTCCTCTTCGCTCTTTTTCATAGCAGGCATATATTTGCTGCGAAGAATCATTGCTCTCCTTTGTAAATTTTGTTGGGCCAAAGTCCACCAAAATAGAAACTTATAACAACTGTTTACCGTGAACATACCATTGTTCTGCGGGATCTAAAACAGCTTATCTGTATTCTCTTCCTGAAATGTAAAACTATCAAGTAGCTGAATAAGTTGAGAAGCCCTGTACCAATTCCCACAGTTTGTTGATTGTCCACCGCCATGTCGTATAATTCTGGATATTGTCCTAATCATGCATCATCCCAAAAGTGAGTTTTACTACCATTCCTCACCAATATTCTGGTATTGCACCTGAAGTCCTCCCACAGATTTCTGGTATACTTCCATACACTTACTCCATATACCAACTTCCATACATCTATGGTTTTCTATATGTCAGAGTAATATTAGCAAAGTGTAGCAATTGAGTCTCCTGTATCTTTTTTGTGTTGCTAACTTTCAACCGGATAAGTTCTTCTCCAATTATGGTATTCTTGCTCCAGCTTTAACCAGTTTCCCTCTGGTTCTGAAATTACAAAATATGGAGTGTTTAATATGGACCATGTCGATCCACACGGCATTGTGGTGTGACGGCTTATCCAGTCTGGCGGAGATCAGACGCCATGCCGTGCACATGGTGGTATTTTTTTCCTATGTCCACCTGCATACATTGGGGAAAGACGGCTTAGCCGATCAGGCGGAGATCGGACTCCATGCCATGTGCATGGTGGTGTGTCCGTACTAAGGATCTCCCAACCTAAAATGATAATGCTTACTTGAAGTTTTTACTTTTTTTTAAAAAAAAACATTTAAATATTATTGATTTACTTACTGCTTCCACGTCTCTTTCCTTTTATATTGGCATT